TTCTTCCTCGTTCTTTGGTTCACAGGTTTTCACATGTACTGCAGAGTTTGCAGAGATAAAGCCCCACAACCAGAGATGGCAAAGCACCTCCTTCCTCTGCCTCCAGGGAGGAGAATTCAGCCAAGCAGGAAACCGCAGAGTCTCTGATTGTCTTCTGAGAGCTGGAGCAGTCTATGTCCAGGTCCCAGGAACCTCGCTCGGCCCCAGGCCGCCATTCCCTTCAGCTCCTGGCTCAGTCCTGCTGCATCTTATAAGGCTCCTGGGTGAACTAGGGCCTGGGAAGGGGGAGTGGTGCATTACCCCTGGAGCAGCTGGGCCCACAGGTTCACCAGGCTGAGGGCATGTGGCCTCATGATCAAGAGCAGGGGCTTTTGAAATCAGACAGGACTGGGAGCAAATCTCAGCCCTGCAACTCCCTGCTGTGGGACTGCAGGTACATGTCTGGGTTTCTCTGAGCCTGTAAAGCTCTCAATAAACAGCAGCGGCCAGCAGGAGGCCTGGAGTCCACAGGTGATCTGTCCCTGACCTCAGGTGTCCACAGCCACCCTCTCAGTAGACAGGAAAGCAAGGCAGCTCTCTTGCCCCTCTCAGTGCTGGCCAGGCTGGGACACAGTGGGACATCAGGACTTTCAGCCATCCTTTAGGCCAAAGAATCCCCACATAACACATTCATTGTGTGCAGTAAAGAACTTGGCTGCACTCCTATTGGGGTGTTTGAGATCCAAATTGCTGCCGTGGCACTTTGGAGATGCAGAAAGGAGAAATGAGCTCAGGGTCTCTGGGAAAAGCCCTTTAAACTTGCCTTAGAAATCAGATTTGTCTGGCTGCAGCTCATCTGCCCTCTGGGTCTGCAATGAGGGGTAGGGATGCTGGAGGGCTGCCTGACAGGCATGGAAAGCAGTGGGCAAGGGAGGGCAAGGTTTAGGAAGAGATGACAGGATGGCAGGATGGTTCATGCCTATAATCCTGGCACTTAGGAGGTTGACGTTGGAGGATCACTTGAGGCCAGGAGTTCAAGACCAGCCTGGACAACATAGCAAGACCCTGTCTCTACTAAAAAGATTAAAAACTAGCAGGGTGTGGTGGCACATGCCTGTGGTCCCAGCTACTTGGGAGGCTGAGGTGGGAGGATTGCTTGTGCCCAGGAGTTCAAGGCGGCAGTGAGCTACTGCACTCCAGCCTGGGAAATAGAGCAAGACTCTGCCTCAAAACAAAACAACACAAAAAGGCAGAGGATGATGGGGTCACACTGACATGAAGGGCTTCCCAGGTGATACCTGGTCCCCTGAGCCAGGGAAGCTCTGGGGTGTTTGGAAGAAGAGTGCCCTTGATGATGAAACTCACAGACCAAGAAGCAGCCTGTGCCCTGCCATTCACTCAGACCAGGCTCTGCCCGCCTCCTGCCATCCAGGCTTCACCAGCTTCCTCCCTTTCTTCCCAAGGTGGCTGTTCTGCTGGCACATGCATTCATTCATTCAGCACCCTTACCTGGAGCCTCCTCTGGGTGCCAATGAACAGAGAAGGGCAGAGTTGATTAATGAAATTCAACTTCTTTTTTTTTTTTTTTTTTTGAGACAGAGTCTTGCTCTTGCCCAGGTGGGAGTGGTGCAGTGGTGTGATCTTGGCTCACTACAACTTCTGCCTCCCAGGTTCAAGCGATTCTCCTGCCTCAGCCTCCCAAGTACCTGGGATTACAGGTGCGCACCAACACACTTGGCTAATTTTTTGTTGTTGTTTGTTTTTGTATTTTTAGTAGAGACTGGGTTTCTCCATGTTGGCCAGCCTGGTCTCGAACTCCTGACCTTGTGATCAACCCGCTTCAGCCTCCCAAAGTGCTGGGATTACAGGCGTCAGCCACCGTGCCCCGCCAATGAAATTCAACTTCTAAATGCCAGAGCTCAAGGACCAATCATGATTGCTCACCCTCCTCAGCTATCCATTGAGGAATAGAGGATCACGGAGGAGGGGTGACAAAACTGCCCAAGAGAGACTGGAAAAAACCTTCATGGATGAGGGCACATTTGAGTTGGGTCTTGAAGGCTGAGTAGGAGTTCATCTTAGGAATGAAGAAGAGAATGTGGAGGAGCAGAAAGGGCATTCCTAGCAAAAAAAAAGCAGCAAGGGGCAGGGAGGTGAGAAGGGCAGGGTGGGTTTGAGAGGTGGCAGAACACAGAAATAGATTTCACTGGAATAAAAGTCAGGGTGGACGTGGAGGGCAAAGCAACAGAGGTGTTCCGTGAGTGCCATACTGCAGGGAGAAGGGACCCTGGCCCTCCCACCCATCTCCCTCCCCACCCAGATTAGTGAGCTACCTCCAAACTTAGCAGCTTAAGACAACAATAAGCGTCTCCATCCCTGTTTCAGTTTCTGTGGGTCAGGAATCCAGGGGCAGATGAACTCAGGGTCTCTCCTGAGGTTGCCATCATCAGGGGTCTTGCTGTGGGTGGAGGACCCGCCTCCAAGATGGCACTCACACGGTGCTGGCTGTTGGCAGGAGGCCTGGGGGTCCTCCCTGAATGGGCCTCCCCACGTGGCAGCACTCCCCAGAGTGGGTGATACAAGAGAGAACCAGGCCAAAGCCATATCTTTGTGTTTGTTTTTTGTTTTGAGATAGAGTTTCACTCTTGTTGCCCAGGCTGGAGTGCAATGGCGTGATCTCGGCTCACTACAATCTCCACCTCCTGGATTCAAGCAATTCTCCTGCTTCAGCCTCCCTAGTAGGTAGGATTACAGGCATGTGCCATCACACCCAGCTACTTTTGTATTTTTAGTAGAGACAGGGTTTCTCCATGTTGGTCAGGCTGGTCTTAAACTCCCAACCTCAGGCAATCCGCCCGCCTCAGCCTCTCAAAGTGCTGGGATTACAGGGGTGAGCCACTGTGCCTAGCCTGAGATATCTTCTTGGATACTCAGACCAGCCCTGTTCAGTATGAGAGAAGACCACAAAGGATGTATCAGGAGCTGGGGATCATTAGCAGTAGTTGTAGTATCGTCAGGAGCTGGGCCATCTTGGAGGCTGGCTGCCATGCCATCTCCCATGGGCAGCCCTAGGCAGGTGTATTAGTCCCCTCTCATTACTATGAAGAAATACCCAAGACTGGGTAAATTATAAAGGAAAGAGGTTTAATTGCCTCCTAGTCCAGCAGGCCTGGGAGGCCTTAGAAAACTTACAATCATGGCAGACAGGGAAGCAAACATATCTTTCTTCACATGACGGCAAGAAGAAGAGTGGAAGCCACGCAAAGGGAGAAGCCCCTATAAAACCATCGGATCTCGTGAGAACTTAAAATCATGAGAATAGCATGGGGGAAACCTCTCCCATGACTCAATTACCTCCCACTGGGTCCCTCCCATGGGGATGATGGGAACTACAATTCAAGGTGAGATTTGGGTGGGGACCCAGCCAAAGCACATCAGCAGGATGAGCCCTGGTCTACAGAGTTTCAGGGAAGCACGCACGTCAGCCCCTGAAGTGGGCTCTTTCATCAGTTTCCATGACACTCTTCAAACCAGCCTTCCAATTGGTGGTTGTGAAGTAGGGCAGGGCTGGTGCTGACCAGCTATTGGGGAAGGGGCGAGGGGCTCAAGAGGACTATCCGAGTCTCTCAAACCATGGACTCTGCCAGCACATAAGATCAAGCCCTTCCTGGTTTGATCATGTGCCCAACTGCCCATGTGGCTTCTGGAGTGGTTATCCCCACAGCAGGCCCAAAACGTGCCCTCTAGCAAATGCCTGGGATGCTGCCAGTTGGATGGCTCACACTCAGCAAGGACCAGCCATGCCAACAGGGCTCATGCAGGGGCCCAGGACCTGCGACCTGCTCAGAAGTTGGTGTGGTCATTGAGGGACTCCAGCGAGTCTGTATGTGTCCAGCCCAGGTCCTGGACAGCTCACACCTGCCTGTCCCTTGGGCTGTGCAGGCCTTGTATAATTGAAATGCCAGGCAGCACCTGCAGACAATTTTTTATCACACTCTGTATAATGTGTAAATACCATTAAGTTAGACAGATTTTCTCATTAATTCTTGGTCCCAGTGACAGACCAGGAATTAACACAATTGATTTTCCAGTCCCTACTCATTATCAATCATCTCCCAGAACTTAGTCACATTTCATCTGTTCCACCTGGGCCCCAGCATCTATTTGGAGGTTTCAATATATATTAAACTAATAAAGAGCAATGGGCACTGGCGTGTCAGCCCTGGAAACTGGTGGGGATGAGTGAAGAAACAAATCCTGGGAAGAAAGTTGCCTCCAGAGGGGAAGAGTAGACAGAGCCTTTGAGGGCTTAGTCCTGCCCTAGGATGCTGGCACTGGACAGCAGATGCTCAGCAAAGGGTGTTGGCAACTGTATCAGTTATGAATTGCTGTGTGACAAACCACCCCAAGACTTAGTGGCTTAGAACAATAGTGTCTATTTGCTCATGGTCCTCTAGGTGGCCAATTTGGGCTGGGATCCTGGCCTCATTCTGGTGGCTGCAGTTGGCTGGTGGCTGGGATAGCTGGAGGGTCTAAAGCCAGTCTCACACATACGTCTGGTGGTTGGTGCTAGTTATCGGCTGGACGGTCGAGGGACTTCAGCTGGGATGGCTCTTCTGTGCTTCAAGTGGCTTCTCATACTTCAGGAAGCGGGACTGGACTCCTGGCATCGCTTTTCACCATATCCTTTTGGTCAAAGTAAGCCAAAAGACCGATCCAGATTCAAGGGGTAGGGAACGAGATCCCACCTTCTGATGAGAAGAATGAGCCAACGGCACATGACAGAGTGGTATGCCACAGGGATGGAGGACTGACTGCAAACAGGACACGACAGTAACCAATCAGGGATCAGGTTCTGGACCCTCCTTCAATGGGCAGTTTCTTTTCAAGCCTTCATACCAATATTCTTCAAGACCTTGGGACCCATCCAAGCAGGAGAGAAATGTGCATTTCCTCTTTTTTTTTTTTTTTTTTGAGACAAAGTCTAGTTCTATTGCCCAGGCGGGTGTGCAGTGGTGTGATCTCGGCTCACTGCAACCTCCGCCTCCCAGGTTTCAGCAGTTCTCTCTGCCTCAGCCTCCTGAGTAGCTGGGATTACAGGCACCTATCACCACGCCCAGCTAATTTCTTTTTGTATTTTTAGTAGAGACGGGGCTTCACCATGTTAGCCATGCTGGTCTCAAACTCCTGATCTCAGGTGATCTGCCCACCTCAGTCTCCCACAGTGCTGGGATTATAGGCATGAGCCACCTCGCCCAGCCAGAAATGTGCCTTCCTGAGACCTGAAGAGCAAACACATCCAATGCTGAGCTAAGGGACAGGAGGCAGAGAGAAGAGGGAATCTGTACCAAATTCTTTTTTGGTTTTTTTTTTTTGAGACAGAATCTCACTCTATCGCCCAGGCTGGAGTGCAGTGGCTCAATCTCGGCTCACTGCAACCTCCACCCAACTTCAAGTGATTCTCCTGCCTCAGCCTCCCAAGTAGCTGGGACTACAGGTACACACCCCCACACTCAGGTAATTTTTTTGTATTTCTAGTAGAGACGGGGTTTTACCATGTTGCCAGGCTAGTCTCGAACTCCTAACCTCAAGTGATATGCCCACTCTGGCCTCCCAAAGTGCTGGTATTACAGCTGTGAGTCTCCCCATCTGGCCGGGAATCTGTGCCAAATTCTTAATCTTGCCTCAAAGTGACCTCCTGCCACCTGAGTGCTTCTGGACCATCTCTCCTGGAAGTTGAGTGCTACTGTTTAGAAATTAGCAAGTGTATGCTCTTGCCATTGTTAAAATTAGCAAGAACACGCACAATTACAAAAGTGAATTTTTCACAAAAGTGCACATTGTGTGAAATTTTCTAATTCCAAGTCCAAGTAGAAAACAACTGTGGATTATCCACTGCTTTCTACTGTGTCATCCCATCCTATGAGAGATCATTTAATTTCAGTATTATGGAAGTCACAACCATCTCTACTTCAGAAAGGGCTTTGGCAGTAAACTTTTCCTTGAGGTGTAACATACATTCAGAAGAGTGCACAATTAAGTGTGTGATTCAATGAATGTTCACAAGGAGAACACATCTGTTTAAACAGACCCCTACCCTCCACCCCAACAAGGGCATCTTGTGTCCTGCCTTCTGACACCACAGATTAGTTCTGCAGGATTGTGTATGCATGGGGAACACACTTCAAGGAGCCGGTGGCCCAGATCCCAGAAGTAGGCAGTCACTGCCTTCGGAGCTATTGAATCAGGAGTCCCTGCTTGGAGGCAAGGATACGTCCTTCCAACTTCTCATGGCTCCTCCCCATCCTAAGTTGCGTCCTCAGGGCAAAGCCCTTTGGTCCAGGGCACACCTCTATTGCCACATCAGATCCCAGCATGGGAGTGGGGGTGCGTAGGTGGGTAAAAGAGTTGCGGGAGGGGAAAGGGCCACCTCACAAATGCAGGAGAGCTGCGATGCAGTGAGGACAGGGGGTGGGGGGAGCTTTCAGGGACACTCCTGGAGCAGGAAAAAGTGTGTGACCCACAGAGGCTGGGACACTGGTTGGAGGGGTGATTCCTCCCCCACCCCTCCGTGCCAGTATTCAGTAAGCCTGTGCACCCACCTAGAATTATCCCTAGATAATAATCATCATCATCTTTATGGAAACCATTTAAGATGAATTCTGATGCGCTTTATTATGTGACTTTTTCAGAAGTTCTGCAACAAGAAGGTGAAATAGGTTCTGAACATTAAGCAGTAAGAAGTTATGAAGGGCACGTTTGCCTGGTAGCACCTCCCAGGTAACTAACTCCCTAATACTCATCAGGTGAGGGGCTGGCAGGAGAGGGTCTTTCCCACACCCACTCAATGACATTTTCTTTTCTTTCTTCAAACTTGTCCAGGTAGACCAGGGCACTCTCTGCTTTTGAAAAGCCCGTTAGGGGCCTGAGCTCACCTGCAGTTCCAGCTGTGGGAGGAGACAGGGACTGAGACACATGTCTGAGGCTGGCTTTACACCCTCCTGCCATCCCAGCCACCAGCCAACTGCAGCCACACGAATAAGCCAAGGAGAGCCCAGCCCAGACTGGCCACCCACAGGACCATGAGCAAACAGACACTTGTTCTAAGCCACTAAGTCTTGGGGTGGTTTGCCATACAGCAATTCACAACTGATACGGTTACCAAGTCCTTTGCTGAGTCCCCACTAGCCAATGCCAGCATCCTGGGTGGCAGGACTGAGCCCTCAAATGCTCTGTCCACTCTTCCCATCTAGAAGCCCCAGGACAGAGTGCAGGGTGTGGAAAGGCAGCAGGAGCGTGGGAGATGGATGAAGTGCTAGGGCCTCCACCTCCACCCTATTTCCATCACTCATATCCCAATGAAATGTGGAGGGAGGTACCTATGGGGACAGAGGTGGCCCAATCTCTGAGCTTTCCCATTTTGAGGGTCAATAGAACATAAAAATGCATCCCACCTGGACACAGTGGCTCCAGTCCATAATCCCAGCACTTTGAGAGGCCAAGGCAGGAGGATCACTTAAGCCCAGGAGCTCAAGATCAGCCTGGGCAACATAACAAAACCCCTGTCACTACAAAACATTTTTTAAAAATTAGGCAAGGTGGTGGATACCTTTAGTCCCAGCTACTCAGGAGACTGGGGCAGGAGGATCCATTGAGCCCAAGAATTCGAGGCTGCAGTGAGCTATGATTGCACCACCACTGCACTCCAGCCTGGGCAACAAGTGTAAGACCCTGTCGCAAAAAAAAAAAAAAAAAAAAAAAACTCGAGTCCAGTGAGGACCAGGAAGGCTGAGAGTTCTTTAGAAGTCTGTACTTACACAGCCAATCTCAAAGCAGAACAGGGCAATCAATAATGAATGCTGCCAGGTCCCTCTTAGAACTGTTCCCCCAAGCCAGGTGCACTGGCTTGTACCTGTAATCCCAGAATTTTAGGAGGCCAGGTCAGGCGGAGCACTTGAAGTCAGGAGTTCCAGACCAGCCTGGCCAACACGGCAAAACCCTGTCTCTACTAAAAATACAAAAATTAGCCAGGTGTGGTGGCATGTGCCTGTGATCCCAGCTACTTGGGAGGCTGAGGCAGGAGAATTGCTTGAACCCGGGAGGCAGAGGTTGCAGTGAGCTGAGATTGCACCCCTGGACTCCAGCCTGCGTGACAGAGCAAGACTCCATCTTGGGAAAAAAAAAAAAGAACTGCTTCCCCTAAATTTCTAATTCTGTCATACAGCCCCTCGGGTCCTCCCTGCCAGGGCAGCAGCCCACAGAATGGACATCCCTCTTCTCATCTTTCCCCGATCAAAATGTCCCCATCTTCTGCGGCATTCGCTTTAGGCCCTGATTCTCTGTTCTTGATGGTAACAAGCAGATTTTTTTCCTCAGTTATGTGCTTGTATTTTAGCAAGGACCTTTGGGAAATACAAGGCCTTCATTCAAAGGACTGACTAACGGTAGAATCCGAGGCACAGAGGCAGGTTGATGCAGAGCTATTTAGGTGCAGGAGAGCCTCAGAGCTCCCATTAAATCACAGCCATGGCTGACCTGATGGAAAAGAATGTATTGTCCTTCCCATGAAGTTTTCACCCGCAAACCAGTATGCTGCTGTCAGGTATAGGGTTAAGTCGTTAGGAATGTGCTTAAGCCTGGGCAACATAGTGAGACCCTGCCCCTACAAAACAATTTAAAAATTAGCCAGGCATGGTGGCACGCACCTGTGGTCCCAGCTACTCGGGAGGCTGAGGCAGGAGGATTGCTTGAGCCCTGGAGGCTGCAGTGAGCTGTGACTGTTTCACTGCCACCCTTGTCTGGGAGCAAGAATTTGTCTCAAAAAAAAAAAAAAAAAAAAGAATGTGTTTACCAAATCATTGGATGGATGGATGGATGGATGGATGGATGGATGGATGGATGGACAGAGCCCAAACAAGAATGGAACAAAAGACCTTGATCTCATCAGCCCTTGACCTCATTCAATCTTCCAAACTCTGAGAGTCCAGGCAGAAGACAAGAGGTTCCCAGCATTCCTTCCTTGAAATGTCAGCTTAGGGTCCTCTCCAGGTGCAGATCTAAGAGAGAGGTCAGGCATCTCCTCCAAGAACTTGTCCTCAGCACTCACTACCTTGGACCAGCAGGGCAGCTTCTCCCCAAGGCTGTCCTATAAACACTAGGGTCAGGGAGCAGGGCGTGCTTCCCTGCACCCATTCTATCCCACACCCCAAGTCCCACGGAAGTGCATGCTTCTGGAAAGAGCCTGAAATAGTTACATGATTCTGTCTCCATTTCTCATTCCCCCTCCTGCGCTTAAGTGCCTATTAGGGACAAAGGGACAGGAACAGAGGACAATAACATCTGTTTTTCCAACAAGCTGGTGACAATGCGGATCTGGAGGCGGAGCGTGCGTCAGCACTGGGGCCCAGATGCAGCCCTGCAGCTGCAGAAGCAACTGGCACTCCATCATTTCACAGGGAGATCACCCCAGTCAGCAGCTCCTAACTCGCTGGCATGCATCCTCGCCCGGGGAGCCATTACTGCTCTCCCTAGATCAGGCTAACCTCTCACTTTTGTTTTTTTTAATCTCTGGTGGCCTTCAGCAGGACCCTGGAAGCCACAAGTCCTCCAACCTTAGTCCTACCGTCTCAAGGTCAGGGCCAAGGACAGGACACAGAGCATGGCTGGAAAAGCACTGGGTTAGAAGTCAAAGGACTTGGCTTCTCATCCCAGCTCTGCCATTGGCTCTGAGACCTTGGGCTGCTGTGTCTGTGTGGGGACATTGAGAGCAAGGTGTTCAACTTGCTGAAGGAGCCTCAGTTTCCTCATCTATAAAATGGGAGCTATCATACCTCAGTCATGGAATTGCTAAGAGTCTCAAGTGTGAGAACTGACACATGTGATCCTAAGTCAGCGCAATAACTGGGAGCGAGCAGATGAGCCATGGCAGTGTGTGTTTCTGCAGGTAACTTGGAGGCCACTCGTGCCTAAAGCTGACTCCAATACCCAGGCACGGCTGAGATGTTTTCCAGCAGTCAGACTGCACAAAGCAAATAGAATCAACCATCCATTCACCAGGTATGGTGGTTCACGCCTATAATCCCAGCACTTTGGGAGGCCGAGGCGGGTGGATCACGAGGTCAAGAGATCGAGACCATCCTGGTCAACAAGGTGAAAGCCCGTCTCTACTAAAAACAAATTAGCTGGGCATGGTGGTATGTGTCTGTAGTCCCAGCTACTCGGGAGGCTGAGGCAGGAGAATTGCTTGAACCCAGAAGGCAGAGGTTACGGTGAGCCGAGATCGTGCCATTGCACTCCAGTCTGGGTAACAACAGTGAAACTCCGTCTCAAAAAAAAAATTAGCTGGGTGTGGTAGCACGCACCTGTAGTCCCAGCTACTCAGGAGGCTGAGGCAAGAGAATCACTTGAACACAGGAGGTAGAGATTGCAGTGAGCTGAGATTGTGGCACTGCACTCCAACCCTGGAAACAGAGAGACTCTGTCTGAAAAAAAAAGCTATCAAACTATGGAGACCCCCGAGTCCCTGTCTCTGATGGAGCCCCTCAATCCTACCTCTTCTCCAACACCCAAGGCCACCAGCACGACAAGCTGGCCATGTGCCTGGAAGGCTCAGGAGAACCATGGAAAGGGTTAAGAGAGGGAAAGGCGAGGAGAGGCTGGAAAGAGGATGGGAGATGAAGACAATAACAAAAGAGGCAGCTGTGACTCTTTCAACATTTTAAAAGAGATTGAAATTGAAAATGAGATTTATAAAAAGGCAACCCATCACGCTTTGCTCCCCCCTTCAAAAGAAAGAAGTGTTGAAAATGAAAAAGACTTTTAACCAAATGAGTGCTGCGTTTAGAGTTAGAAGAGAACCGGTCCGGGTCATGTGTAGTGCTGCTGCGTGGTGGCTGTGACCCCCAGCAAGTCACTGGCCCACTCCACCCATGAAACAAGCCGAGCACACACTTCTCAGGGCCATGGGGAGGGCACCGTGAGAGGCGCATGGAGAAGGCTTTGGTGAACCCCAGGTTGCTTCCCAGCCGGACCCAGCGTCTGGTGGCTCTCACTGCGACTGTGGTTAGGCAGCCTTGACAGGCTGTTGTCATTCCCACCACTGAGAGAGACAAGGGAATGAGTATCAAGGATCACCCAGGGCAGGCAGTGAGGTTTCCAGGTCAGGGCCTGTCCTGGGGAAACCCATCTTCTCACACCTCTCATGCAGTGAGATTAGTTGCATCCACTGTGATGGCCAGGGACACCGATTACACCGTGCTCTGCCCTGCTTGATCGACTTTGTTATCTTCGTTCCTCACCATCCCCTCCCTGTTCCTTCTTGGAAAAGGAATGGCTCTTCTCAGCAGAGCCACCCAGCCCCTGCACCCAGCCTCTGTGCCGAGCTCGAAGGATACCGAATGGTTCTACCTCCTCCTTGCCTCTACCCAGAGGGGCTCTGAGCGACCCTCACAGCCTCCATGGTTTCCCCTTATCCTCCCTGGAGCTGCATAAAGACTGGTTGCCCAGTCAATGAGATGGCTTTACCAGGTGTCACTGATTGCATTGGGTTCCATTCATGTTCGGCACCTACTGAATTCCCAGGACAATAACTGCCCCACTGGGGGATACAGGAGGTGTCCCCACATTTACATAAATGTACACACATATTTGCACACATGCACATGGGAAATATTTATTTTTAGAGACAGGGTCTCATTCTGTCACCCTGGCAAGAGTGCAATGGCACAATCTCAGCTCACTGCAACCTCTGCCTCCCTGGTTCAAGCAATTCTCTTGCCTCAGCCTCTGGAGTAGCTGGGATTACAGGCATGTGTCACCATGCCCAGCTAATTTTTGTATTTTTAGTAGAAATGGGGTTTTGCCATGTTGGCCAGGCTGGTCTCGAATCCCGACCTCAGGTGATCTGCCCACCTTGGCCTCTCAGAGTGCTGGGATTACAGACAGGAGCCACCGTGCTTGGCCCAATTTTTAAAAATATAGTTAACAACTCTGGCTGGGATTGGTGGCTCATGCCTGTAATCCCAACACTTTGGGAGGCTGAGGCAGGTGGATCACTTGAGGTCAGAAGTTCGAGACCAGCCTGGCCAACATGGTGAAACCCCGTCTCTACTAAAAATACAAAAATTAGCCAAGCATGGTGGCGGGTGCCTGTAATCCCAGCTACTCTGAAGGCTGAGGCAGGAGAATAGCTTGAACCCGGGAGGCGGAGTTTGCAATGAGCCAAGATCGTGCCATTGCACTCCAGTTTGGGCAACAAGAGCAAAACTCCATTTCAAAAAAAAAAAAATTATAACAATAGAGCCGGGCGCGGTGGCTCACACCTGTAATCCCAGCATTTTGGGAGGCCGAGGCGGGTGGATCACGAGGTCAAGAGATCGAGACATCGAGACCATCCTGGTCAACATGGTAAAACCCCGTCTCTACTAAAAATACAAAAAATTAGCTGGGCATGGTGGCGTGTGCCTGTAATCCCAGCTACTCAGGAGGCTGAGGCAAGAGAATTGCCTGAACCCAGGAGGCGGAGGTTGCGGTGAGCCGAGATCGCGCCATTGCACTCCAGCCTGGGTAACAAGAGTGAAACTCTGTCTCAAAAAAAAAATTATAACAATAATAATAATAGTAATAATAACAACCTTCTTAAAACAGACTTCAGATCTTTTCCGGTTTCTTCCCTTGTTGAATGAACCTGCACTGCAATGCAAGGGATGTTATCTTTCCCTTGCGCCTAGAGAGTCTTAAAGTCCCTCTAAAGGACAGGCCACTCACAGTCACATGTAAGACCACCTACCTCCATCGGGGACTTCCTTAGAACCTTCTCAACTGTCAAGCTTCCAGGGCTACAAAGCACTGGAAAGAGAAGTCACCCTGACAATCTCTAACCCCAAGGCTAAGACCCCAACTTTTCCATAGTCACCCCACCAGGATTCTGGTCTCTGCACAATCAGGCTTGGATCTCCTGACAGGAAGGGCTGCAAATGGGTCATCCTGAGGTTTCTGCATGGAACTTATGCTGGTGCCAGGGCAGAGCCCCTCAGAATCAACAAATGGACACCTTCCATACACGGAGTGCATTCAGGCTACTATAACAAAAATACCATTAAATGTCTCACAGTTCTAGGAGCTGGAAGTCTAAAACCAAGGCAGATTTGGTTTGGTGAAGGCCCCCTTTCTGGCTCATACATAGCGCCTTCTAGCTGTGTCTTCCCGTGGAAGAAGGAGCAAGGCAGCTCCCTAGGTCTCTTTTATTAGGGCACTAATATCTTTTTTTTTTTTTGAGACAGAGTCTCACTCTGCCACCCAGGCTGGAGTGCAGTGGTACGATCTTGACTCACTGCAGCCTCCGCCTCCTGGGTTCAAGCGATTCTTCTGCCTCAGCCTCCCGAGTAGCTGGGATTACAGACACACGCCAGTACACCCAGCTCATTTTTGTATTTTTAGTAGAGACAGGGTTTTACCATATTGGCCAAGATGGTCTCAAACTCCTGACCTCATGATCCGTCCTCTTCAGCCTCCCCAAGTGCTGGGATTACAGGTGTGAGCCAACGCGCCCGGCCCAGGGCACTAACATCCTACTCAAGAGGACTCTACTCTCATGACCTAATCACCTCCCAAAGTTGCCTAATACAGTCATGCTGGGGATTAGGCTTCAACATATGAATCGAGGGGGACACAAACATCCAACCACAGCAGAGTTTCACAATGAATAGTTATTTCTTTCTATCTCCCTTACTATCATATCAGCTCTGAGAGCACAAAGATCTAGTCTTGTTCACTTTCTGTCTAGTTTTACCACAGTTCCTGGTACTTATCAGGTGTTCAATACTTGTTAGTTGAATGAATCAATGAATGTACCAGGTGCTGTGCTGAGTATTGGGAAGAACATGGACACTCAACCATGGACTGTCTGTCCTTTGGTAGGAAAGTCTGAGATTATACAAAATAGCAACATTCTAAAATATTCATCCATGAGAAAAGAAAGGGGGCTGGAAGCAGCAGTCTCAGGCTTGTAATCCCAGCACTTTGGGAGTTTACGGCAGGCGGACTGCTTTAGTCTAAGAGTTGGAGACCAGCCTGGGCAACATGGTGAAACCTCGTTTCTATAAAAAATACAAAAATTAGGCCAGCTGCAGTGGCTCATGCCTGTAATCCCAGCACTTTGGGAGGCTGAGGTGGGTGGATCACCTGAGGTCAGGAGTTCAAGACCATCCTGGCTAACATAGTGAAACCCCGTCTCTACCAAAAATACAAAAAAATTTAGCCCGGCATTTTGGCACATGCCTGTAATCTCAGCTACTCCAGAGGCTGAGGCAGGAGAATTCCTTAAACCCGGGAGGCAAAGGTTGCAGTGAGCCAAGATCATGCCACTGCACTACAGCCTGGGTGACAGAGCAAGACTCTGTCTCAAAAAAAAAAAAAACAAAAAAACAAAAAAATTAGCTGGGCATGATGGTGCATGCCTGCAATCTGAGTTACTCTGGAGGCTGAGGTAGGAGGATCACCTGGGCCCAGGGAGGTTGAGGCTACAGTGAGCCATGATTGTGCCACTACTCCAGCCTGGGCTACAGAGTGAAAAATCCTGTCTCAGAACAAAGCCAAGTTGGGGGGAGGTGATTGGGGCCGGAGGAACTCACTTTATGAAACACCTACTACATACCAGGCACCATGTTAAGTACTCTATGAGCACTACTTAATTTAAACCCAGAATTACCCTACAAGGCGAATACTATCATCCTCCCTCGCAGAGGAGACACTGGAAGCTCAAAGAGACTACATAGTTTGTCTGAGGGTATCCTGGGGGTAAGTGATCTACCCACCCAGTGCTGCCAGACTAGAAAGCCGAAACTCTGCACTTTACTAGTCAAGCTCCAGGAGTGATATAAATATAAGGTGTGCCTGTTTGTCTGTCTGTCCTCTGGAAAGTGTAAGTTTCCCGAGGATAGGGATCAGGTCTCATTTACCATTATACTTCCCAGAGCTCAGTCAAGTGCCTGTAACATAATACTTTCTCAATAAATTGAGTGGTCTTGCAGCCACCTGCAGATGGCACCAGAGGTGATCTAGTCGTTGATAATGAATTGATCACGGTCTGGAACAGGACATGGAGAAATTATTCTCTTCTGCCCTCATTCCCCCACAGCCTTTGTGCCTTTATGTCTTATATATGGCTGTGAGTGGCCTGTCCTTCAGAGAGGCTTTAAGAATCTCTAGGTGCAAATGTCTATGTTGACATTTGAGGTGGCAGGATAATTTATGGATGTAGCTTTTGCTACTAGCTCACTGTGTGTCCTCAAAGGCCAGGGGCATGCCTCATTTATCTTGCCTCCTGGGGCAGAGCAGGCTCTCCATAAAGGTGTTTGGCCAAGGCAAGTGTCAGCTGGAAGGCCCTCTTTGGTCACCTTGGTGACTTGTGACCCCCTCAGCAACTCCCCTGAATCCAAGAGCCTCCCACCTGGCATTCCCTTGGCCTCAATGCAGCCCAGAGCTGAGGGGCTCCCCCGACTCACAGGAGACACGGGCTCAGCACTCCTGCTTCACGGGATGTTTTCCCGGGCCTCGTCTCTCCAGGCCATTCATCTTGATTATGTATTGGCAGCTGTGGATGATTAAACGCCCCACCATTCTCTCCTTTGTTTCTCAGCAAGGAAGTGTCGGAGTTTTCATTCTGCAGGAGGCTTTGACATTAGCAGTGGTCAGAGTGCCCTTGGCACACCTGCCTCAATGCTCCAGTTTTCTGACTGCACAGCCAAAAGAGGCAGATTAAGGAAAACTAAGTCTTACTCTCAGGCAGCAACAGGGTGCGGGGGGAGGGGGGGCTTTCTCCAGCTGGGGAAATTGAGCTGTCCATCAGCACCTCGGTTTCCATGGAACAATCACCTCTCATGGCCACCTAGTAACCTTGATCACCGCTCACTGTCACCTCTTCCTGGAAACCTTCCTGACCCAGAAGCCCCATCTCTATCTTGATGTTCTGTGGTGGTTGTTCTATGGTTGACATGTGTCAACCTCCTGTCCCTTCACACAGCACACTGAACCTGAAGAGTGAGTAACCTGTGTTCCAAACACGCATACAACTATCAGCTCCAGGTACTGCCCACCCAGAGGCGGGAAGGGGCTCTCTTCCCTCTCCTCAAAGGTGGCCAGCCCTATTCTCAGGAGGCAGGTTTAGGAGGCAGGTCTCTGGGCAGTTTCTGGGAGCTTGGGCACTGCTGCTCCCACACTCATGATGTGGGCACTCTGCTTCAGTGGCTAGATGAAGACTGGAAAAGAAGAGATGAATGATGACAGATGAGGGGAAAACAGCATAAATTTAACCTGAGACAGGACCTTTGCCTCCATCATCGTGGGTAGGCAGGAGCCACTGTCCATTATCTGGGGATGGGCAGACTTTGACTTGTAACTTTGGCCCAACCAGCCAGAGTAGGTTAGACCAACAGGCTTATTTATTATACCCACAGAGCTGGACCCTGGGGGTGTTGGTGGGAACGCCACCAGCCAGGAGGCAGCCATCCCACCCTGATGGGAAACCACCTCCCTGGCACTGACGCATGGGACACCTCTGTAGGCCTGTAGCTGGCCCCATCACTTACACACTTGGGAGCAGCTAAGGGCAGACAAATGGATTGAGTTCCTTACATGCAAGGCACTGTAGGGCAAGCAGAGAGATGAGGAGTAGTTTGCACTGAAGGCTGGGTGTGGTGGCTCACGCCTGTAGTCC